CCACCGATTCAGTATCACAAATTTAAGTACAAAACCAGAAAGCAGCATAAACCTTATTTGATCCACTACCAAATAAAAAAATTACTCACCAAACATATAACTCATTTAATTAATATATTAATAATCTTCTTAAAGGTGGTACGTTTTTTAAGACGAAGAGTAGCTCAAGTAGTTGTATGATATTATCTGCTCTAGGCATAATCCTCACGACTTTACTGTTGGTTTTACTCAAAAAACTTCATACCAATAGAGATAATTGTTGTCATCTATATACCATGGATCAATCTCTTCCCTAACCTCTTCCCTAACTACTAATGTGAAATTTTGTTTGCACTCCTTGCAACTTCAACACCTCTCTTTTACACGTGCAAGGTCTTTTCCCTCTCTCTTGGTCCTAGCTCGCTAATATGGAGATAGCTTTCTCTCAAGCATAAAGTCTTACATGTGAGATACTACCCAACTCTCCCTAGCTAGCTAACATACTTCACTCTCATTTTCACTCTCCCTCTACTTCATGTAAGGTATTCTCTCTTGAGCATTCAAAGAGAATACGACTTTCTCCCGAGCATGGCAAGACAACATGCATCACTTATGAAAAAGTCTAATACTACAGGAGTACCTTGCTCTCTTTTGCTTGCCCAATAAATAGAAAGAACGGACTGCATCATTTTTAATACAGTACTGAATGTGAAAAATAATGAACGGAAAAGACTATGGTACTCTTGTAGTACCAAAAATTTTCTCCTCTCTCCTCCATGCAAGATGATCTCATTCAAACATCTAAAATTAAAAATGGTTGGAATTTTTTGAATAAAATTATTTTTATTAAAATTGAAGAATCACAACTTTTCATAAACTCGTGCGTCTTTTGTAAAGGTTATGTTCTTTTATCAAAAGACATAACTTTACATGAAAAGATATGACTATTTGAATGGTCACAAATAGTCTATAAATACGTGGTTCTTCTCAGTTTTGAAACACAGAAAATCATCCCTCAAATTTCTCTCTTTTCCTCTCTATACGAGTACTTAAATACTAAGGGTTCGTTGAGTCTTGTGCGTGAAGTACTGCATTCACAGGTTGGTATATCCGTCCTATTCTGGGAGACAATTGTTCATGAAACCTTGAGCACCGTAGAGAGAACAAAATTGTCTTAAAAAAACAACGCTACGTTGGGTTCGGATTTTTAATTTTGTGTTTTCTTAAGTTTTCTATGCACATTTCTACTACAATCTTAAGACAATTTTGATAAGGTTTTTTTTGTTTATGCATCTCTCTGACGGATTTGTTTAGTCCATAGCCCTGATCTTTGCATATTATTGGGATTTTTTCCTTATGGTTTTATGGATACTATAATTTTTGATTCCGTATTGGCCACTGTGTTCCAATTTCCTTGATGGTTTTCATAAGTTTTTCAACGATGGATGATACTTATTTTCTTAATTAAGTTATTTTGTTAAGAAAACTTGATTGGATATTATATTCTTTTGTGTCAATGTTGAAATTGGGTATTTCGATATGTATGTATTAACCTTGTTATTTACATGGTCAATTCTTTACATAGAATTTACTTTGTTTCGTTATGCTCCATGCTGCATAATTTAATAGCACCTTTATAGTTAGTTATCGTTGGGATAAAATTGTTTGGTGGTGTTATTTGTTTATTATGTTTAACAAATTTTGAGAAAGTATTTTTTGTGATGAATTCACAAAAATACCATTGACGATTCGAATTCCATACCACATGGTGGTAGAAATCAAAGGGTAAAAGCCTGAGTAGTCTAATAGCAATGAATTCAAACGATAACAACAAAAGATGTTGTTCTATCTCAAAACTTTGTGTTTGACACAATTTCTCAAAGGGGATGCTCCTGTTATGGTTGAAGGAGATGAGTTTCTATAATTATGAGAGTTATGTGTGGATGTAATTACATGCTGAGTAATTACTATATACAGTAATTTCATATTTTATATGAAATTAAGTTTAGCAGCATGTTTAAATGCTTGAATCAGATATAGTTAAATATCCAAATTACTCTTGCAATTGGTAGATTCTTGTTATGAATGATATACTTTAAAGTATGCACATACAGTTTATGAGAAGAGTAAAAGGCAATATCATATGAAGTTGTGGAATGATGACTTCATATAAATATTTGAAATTGTGGGGTGCCTTGCAACAGCGAAAAATACTCTTAATTTAAGTTCAACAGGCTGTCATTGATGTAAATCTCCATTTATCTAAGAGATATTGGTTGTAGTATTTCACAATTGAAATATTGTGTGTGGATGGTAGTCCAATGGATCTTACAAATTGCTCACGATTGGACTTATCATATGCAGTGAGTAAATTTAGAAGATTTGCAAATAATCTTGGAAAAGATTATTGATAAGTGATGATGATATAGATATTTAAATATCCAAAATGACGGATTGCATTCATACTTGGAGGATAAAGTGATGAAAATTGGATCTTTGATATAAATGATTCAAAATCCAAAGGTGGATCATATTCAATGTAATATGAATTCAAGTACAACTTACAATGTATAATGGTAAGTCTCGACATATACGTCAACGACATAATACCATAAGACAATTGCTCTCTAATGAAATTATATCAATTAATTATGTGAAATCAAAAGATAATATTGCAGATCTGCTTACGAAAATTTTGGCAAGAGAGCAAGTGAAATTGTCTTCAATAGGAATGGGTTTGAAGCCTATGATATAAGAGTTAACATAATGGTAACCCAACCTAGCTGATTGGAGATCCCAAGATCTAGGTTCAAAAGGGAAAACAAATTTATATATACAACTCAGAGGAGCACTAAGAAAAGGAATTATAAATTCCTAACCATTCCTATTATAAAAATTAGTGCTAACTTAGAAACGGATGAGGTTAAGATATGTTTTTAATGACTCTTTAACTCTTTTATAATAGTGGGGTATTGTCAGGATACTCTTTAAAGAAGTCACCTATGTGGGTGTGAAGGGGCCGCTTCTAGGAGAATTTTTAAGACTGAATTCTCTACAAACACTCATGAAACCAGACGGTATTCAGGGCCAAAATGAATATAAACATGAGAACCATTAGTATTTTGAAGAATATCTATGTAATTATTATGGACTTGATTTACTCTTAAAAAGTTGACAGTTCAAAGTTCTTTAACTATTGATCGGCTATGTAAACTCTATAGTTTTACTAAGGAAAGTTCAAAGTCTTAGACTACTTATCCTAATGTAGTTATTCTTTATGAGTAATCGTACACGTTTTTAAAAATAAATTTTATTTATGTGGGGGATTGTTGGAAATTTTTTGAATAAAATTATTTTTGTTAAAATTGAAGAATCACAATTTTTCATGGACTGGTGCGTCTTTTGATAGTCTTTTGTAAATGTTATGTCCTTTTATCAAAAGACATAACTTTACATGAGAAGATATGACTATTTGAATGGCCACAAATAGTCTATAAATACGTGGTTCTTCTCAGTTTTGAAACACAAATAATCATCCCTCAAATTTCTCTCTTTTCCTCTCTGTACGGGTACTTAAATACTAAGGGTTCGTTGAGTCCTGTGCGTGAAGTGCTGCATTCACAGGTTGGTATATCCGTCCTATCCTTGGAGACAATTGTTCATGAAACCTTGAACACCGTAGAGGGAACAAAATTGTCTTAAGAAAACAACACTACGTTGAGTTTCGATTTTTAATTTTGTGTTTCCTTAAGTTTTCTATGCATATTTCTCCTAACAAATTCTATACCTTTTGGCTACAAGTATGGCGTGTTGCCACCTCGTAGCCATGGTGTGTCAAATAGTGTCTAGCTCACCATGCTGTAAAAGCACGATTATGGCAAAGAATTCTGCTTTTTTTTGTTTTCTATTTTTAAAATTTCGCTTCGTACGAAATTTACTCATAAAAACAACTTATTTGATTTGAAATGTGCTACTAATATAGGACCCAACAAAAATTCACACACTAACCTTTTTCTTGAGCGAGCAATGACAAATTGAAAATATGAATAACCAAATTTCTAACCGGGTGTTTAGGTCACAGACTAGAGTGGAGTGTAGTGTGTTCTCCTTTCTTGTTTTTGTTTCTATTTTTTAATAAAGAAAAAATAGTATTACACCGACCAACACTCATGGATTCAATAATAATAAAATAATATTTTTATTTATATTTTGAAACAAATTGAAAATAGAAACAAGAAACAAGAAATTTGTTTTTATTGTTTTCAATTTTGATAATATTTCTAAACATAAGAAATAAAAAACATAAATAATTAAAAACAAACTTAAGTTTCGTAGTAAAATTGAAAACAAGAGGAGAAATGTTACCCAAAAATACTTGCTTATCACTTATTTCTCTCTTATTTCTCTCTCTGTCTTTCTCCCCTTATTTCTCTCTCTTGCTTATCACTTTTTTTTTTCCGGAAAGGTACAACTACTTTTTTACTACAGTTAATTACTCGCTCATCTCTTCCTCTTATTTTCCATCATTTAACTTTTTCTTATTTAATTGCTTCAAATTTTCTTCATTTCGATTCCATCTCTTTCCATAGTTGTAAATATTGAAATTTTCCTTTTTCTTTTTCTTTTTAATGAAAATATGGAAATTTTCTAAATTATAATATGGAGATTTTTTTAATATATAGATATATATACAATTTTTTTTAATTATAATTATGAACTTTGATCTAAAAAATTATATTATATGAATTATAATTCAATTTAATTGCTTCAATTTCTCAAATGTGTTATTACTCTTCAGATATAACTATATAAAAAAAAGTTACTTGTTTGACTTTTTATTTTTTCCTTTCAAAAATATTAAAAATAAAAGGGTTGTATTTTTACTTTTGAAATATTCTAAAAAAAACAAATTATCTTGTCAAAAAATTGATGCAAATCTTTATTAATTAAAATTTGAAAAAGTATTTGAAATCTAGCTCTAATTGTAATTAAATACAGTAAAATTGTAGCGAAAAAATCAGTAAACAGAAATTTAGCTTATAACACAGCTTCATACTTAATAATTTCTTATCTCAGACACATATTTCAGAACTCTAGCCATAATAACTCCGCACCCCAAACACATATTAAACAACTTAAGACTAATTAATTCTCTAGATTAAATAATTCCTTGTTCCAAACACCCGAGCTAAAAGATCTAGCGCGATGATCGGAGATAAAAGATATGATCACACAAACATCATATCCAAAAGACAGAAAATCACACCAACCAAACCCTAGATATATGCATGTACAAAACCCAAGTGTATATATATTCAAGCACCACAATAAGTTTTGAGGGCAGATTGAGCTGTCTGGCCAGCTTGTGTATAGTAGAACTGAAGAAACTCAACATGATCAAATGGCTTGAACAGCAAAGGGTGTTCTTCATCAACAAGTTCTTTAGGTGCTTTGATTATATAGCCTGCTTTTGGGACTGAGAACAACCCAGCTGAATACCTTGCCTCCTTTCCACTCATCATCACTCTGTGACGCGGAGAATGCAATCTTCCATTCGTCCATGCCTGCATTAACACGATCGTCTCAACGTGGCTGTCATATAAATAAATTTTACTCTAAATACATCGAGAAGTCGGCTCGAATGTAAACTACTTTTTAATAGCAACTGGTGCAGGTTGAAAACTATTAGTTCGGTTAGTTGGAATCAATATCAAGCGAGCTGATCTTCTTAGAACATAAAATTATGAAACAAAACCGCTATCAAACAAACTTCATGTAAGGCTACTCACATGGAGGGAATCTCCAATCATGGCAACAAAAGATTGTGGGGAAGGTTTGAAGCTAATCCATGTGCCATCTTTGGTTTGAATCTGCAAACCTTCAACTTGATTTTGATATAAAATGGTGACAAAGTTCTTATCAGTGTGGGGATGAAGGCCAATTTTGGTCTCTTTGCTTTGAGGGCCTTTGTATTTCATCACTCTAAGAAGATAGTTTGTTGATTCCAAATGTTCCTCCAAGTATTTCTCAACACCCAAACTCTCCAAAATCATCCTCCTCACTATTTGGTCTAGTTCTGATAATTGTTTTGAGTAGGATTCTATGACTTGGCTGCAAAAAAAAAAAAAAAGGTTTGGAAATTAACATGTATGAATTGGTTTTTAGAAACCAACGTTTTATGGCTCGCTTAGTAACATGTATTTCTGTTTATTGTTTTCTTGTATCTCGTTTTAAGTTTTGAGAAGAATAAAAACGTTTGATAACGTACTGTTATTGTTTTCTTGTTTCTCATTTTTAAGAAAGGTTTTTGAAATTGTATAGAATTTTTTAAATAAAAAAATTGAGCTCCTTGTTTTCAATTTTTTCTCCAAAGCATTGATCAAAATATTATTTGATTATTTTTTCACCCGTGAAATGCATAATAAATATAAAAAACTAATTATAACATAACATTTTTTTAATATTTAATTTGAAATTTTAATTTTCGTATGTAACTTTTACTTTTCTTTATTTGAATTTTTAGAGAACAAGAAACAAGAAAGGGTTTTACCAAACATTTCTTTATTAAAAAAAAAAAACAAGAAACAGGTCCCTCACGCAAGATACAAAAATAATAAACAATAAATAAAAATGTTACCAAAGTGGCCCTTAAAAAACAAAAACAATATTGTGTTGTTTTCGTGTGTATTTTCTTTGATGATTTATATGTGATTGGTAGGTAAATGGGTATGTAGTGTAAATATAAAAAATATATATATGGGGAATAATTCTTAGGATTAAAAGATGACTCATGTTAAAGTCAAATTTAAATGTAGCTTCTAGTTAAGGCATATTTCTCCAACTAAAAAGTCGTGAGTTTAAATCTTCATTCTCGCATGTTGTACTAATAAAAAATTATCATATACACATCTTAGAATAGAGAAAAATAATCCTTTGAAGATGCACCCTATTTGAGAATAGACAAAAATATATACATATATATATATATGCGTATGGGAATCATGTGGTATTCATCCACCATTAGGTTTTGTGTTCGAACCATGTGCTAGTCACAATGTTGCTCGGTCCAGACAATAAACTCCAGTTATAGGGACCCACTGACATAAGCCACAAGACATCGATTTCGGGAAATAAAAAAGATAGACGAGAAAATATCAAAAAGAAAAAAAGAAAGAATACATATAGATATGTGTACACACCTAAAGGTTGGGTTGCCTTGAGGCCACAAGATGTTGGTGAAGGTTTGGACCTTTTCAAGCATGGTGGAATCCTCCACACCCATGCTTTCAAAAAGTGGAGCCATTGGGTATTGGCCTACATAGCCATGGAAGGGCTTTTGAGAAACATTTCTCAACTTGGTTTCCAAAGGAAGGTTGAAAAGCTCTTCTAGTGCTTCAAACAAACCCTTCCTAGCCTCAAGAAGCACTTTCTCAAATGAAGCTTCAAAGCAACCAAATTCCTCAAGTGCTTTCTTCACTAGTGCTTTTGCCATCTCCCATTTGGGACTCCCTAATTCTAGGTTGGAGAAGTCTATGAGGGGAAGCTTAAGAGAGGATTCACAATCCATATTCTAAAGTGTTTGGTGGAGAGATGAAGAGAGAAGTGGTTGCTTTGTCCCTTTTATAGAGTTGTCCAACAATTAATTCATCATTCGATTGATGGGTGATCTAAACATATAAGATATTCTATAAAAAATAAAGTTGTATTACATATTTTTAATATTTTTGAGTACGTGTTTGGCAAATTTGGAAATTGAGTCTCAATTTAAAAAATTATTTAAAGTGTGCTAAATATTTAATTCGATATAAAATATTATTATTTAACTTATTAACATGTATGTTATAAATTAATTTTTTATAACTATTATTTTACAATACTATATACATTTTTAGATTTTAATAAAAATGAAACGAGTTTATAATATGAAATATGAAATAGTATATTCGTTAAAAAATAGGATATATATATAATCTTTTTTAATGTAATTCTTACCTTTTTAAAGTATCAAATTTAGAATATGAAAAACTGAAAACATAAAATGTTACTCTGAATTTTCCCTATAAAACTAATTTGAAAAACAAATCGCTCGACAAATATTTACTAAATTCATTTCATTCAATAATTCTTATTTAAATTCATTTCATTCAATAAATCTGAAAATAAGAAGTAGAATTTACATTCCATATGATAACTAAATTAGTTAAAGTTTTCATATTATAAAGTTTAGGAAGCGACGAAAATAATAAAAACAAATGAAGGAAAATAAGGAAAGATGAACTTACCCCAAATATATTTATACAGTATCTCCACACTTGGAACTATGACTTATCTTTACCAGCACCGAAACTAAAAGTGTAATTTCACCTTGATTTTTATTAATTATTTGTCACTCCTAAGTCCTAATCTTGTTACCAAAACCACATCGCCATAATTTTTATTTTATTAGTTCCTTCCCCAATCAAAGGTGTCATTTTAAACTACATTACTAGAATCATTTCTTATAAATTTTAAGGACAAAGCGAGCGTAGTTCAGACGATAATTGATACATATTTTCACCTAGGGAGTTGTAAATTCGAACCTTCATCCAACATATTGTACTAAAAAAAATCTTATAAATCTAAATGAAAATTTTGACTTTACAACAGCTTTTTTTAATTTAACTCAAATTAAATGAAAGAGATCAAATGAGACAGAGTGGTCCAGAATAATGAACTGATTAACTAAATAATTAAAGCAACTGTGTGGTATAATGTCAAATCTTCGAATTTAATTAACAACTATATGCAGTAAAATACATATTACTCTGAGGTTATGCATATGGTTTGGCTCCAAATTCAATGTTTTAATGTAAATATTGTTTTCATTCCGTACGTTAAATTGGTTATTATATAAAATAATTTTCAATATCATCGTTAGCGTCACCATAGCTCAGCACCTCAAATTTCTTCCTCCTATCTTATGGGTTGGAGGTTCAATCCTCTAACCCCATATTTATTGTTCTAAAAAAAATATTATCATCGTCAATAATTTATGTCTCGATTTTTAGTTTGCCTTATGTGTCGTGGTCCATGGTAAATTATATGCGTAAGACACGATTTTGTTTAGACAATGTGTAGTATTAAGGTCAAAACGAGCATAGTTCAATGATAATGGACATATATTTCCAACCAAAATATTATAAGTTCGATTCTCCACTCCAACATATTCTACTAAAAAGATGTGAGGAACCTCTCTGAAATAAATAAGTAAAACAAATAATAATAATAATAATAATAAATGTCATTTTACCTAAGCTATACTCATACGTTGAACTGAGACATGATTTAGACCTAAATCGTATATTATCATGGTGTAAGTTTATGAATTATTAAAAGAAAATTCAATTATAGTTTTTTCCTATATTTTTTATGTTTTAATTTTGAAATAAAATATTATCTATGAGAGATTTTGGGACCACGTAATCATCTATATAAGACAGAATAATTGTGTTGCATTATTGCGATTTTGACAAGCCATTCACCTAACCACGGCATAATCTATTATTTTAATAATTAATCTACTATAAATCAAAACTTTGAATCTCTGCCCTTATAAGTATAATATTATATTCAATAAAGTTTTTTTTTAAACTAGCTATGGCGTTTATTGTTCACACACATATTAATTTCTTATAATTATTCAAAGCTACTGGTTTTTTTTTCTTTTTTTCTTTTTTTTTTTTGAGTTCACTAAAGTTTGTTATTAATTTAAAAAATATTCTGTTTCTATATATATATATATATATATATATATATATATTTTTAAACTACATTAATTTTTTTTTAAATTGTGGTCCATGTGATTTATTCATTAAGATATTGTTTGGGCTAACGTGAAGGAATATTACATTAGACATTTAAAGGTGGGATTTTGGATTCTTTTAACTTTTACTGGTTGATAAATTAATTTTTATTTTTTTTAATTAATCACTTTGTATTATTGTTTGTTTTCATTCATTAAACGAGCTAAAAGAAATATTATAAATTTGTCTACCAAATTTTATACTTGTGATTTACAATAAGCTAGTGTTAAAGGAAAGAAAATATAAATTCCAACAATTAGCATTAATTATTTCAATTAGCTAAATTAGCTTCATGCAATCTATGTATAGTAAGATAATACACACAAAATCGTGTTCTTCCATCCTTCATTTGTTTAGCTAGAGGTCGAAAAGTCCATTTCATTACCTAATTCAACTTTATGTGATGCATGTGAAACGAAACTATGTACTATACAATTAAAGTTTTTTTTTTTAAATTTTGTTTCTTATACACGTAATTCACCTTTTTTCCTCATTTATTTTTTAATATTTACTCGGATGTTTTAGTTAAAGCTAATAATTGCCAAAACGGTCATAGCTCAGCGGTAATTGACCTATACGATCCCCCACTCCACATGTTATACCAAAAAAAATTGTTAAAGCTAATAATTTATATTTTTTTTTCTTTTTCTTTTTAATTTAAAACCTTTTGAAAACACATTCTTTATTTAAAGATATTATATTTTCTTAAAACAATTTTTTAAAATTTTCAAATTAAAAATGTTTGAAATTTATTTTTTTATTAAGGCTAATAATTTATATTTTTAAATAAAAAAATTTATATTGTAAATTATATTTTCTTGGATGAATTATATTCTCCGAGTATATTTTATATCTTTTCATATTATATTTACTAAATTTTATTTTAACTAAAATAAAAATGAATCAACCTTAATTAAAGATATATATTCTCGATTAGAGGTTGTAGATTCAAATCGCGACCCTCACAAATTGTACTAAAAAAATATTAAAAATAAAACAATAAGCAGGAAATAGTTTGACATATTTTTGTTTCTATTTCTTTTATTCAAGAAACAAGAAACAAAAATAGTTATCAAACATATTTCCGTTTCTAGTTCTAGAAAAATTAGAAACAGGAAACAAAAAATAGAAAATGAGAACGTTACGCCCAACGGGTACTTAACATCCAAAATGAAGAAATGTTTAGAATAGTGTATAGAAAATTCCATGAAATCATTCCTTAAACAAGTATTTAGGGCGTTATGTACTCCAAACATATTGTTTTGAACATGAAGTTATATCGTGTATTTCAAACAATAATATGCGGTAAGAATGAGCATATCATGATGTTCATAGAGGGTGATTACCATCACAATAAGGATACTTGAATAATTTAGTAAAATATCATAAATTGGAGACATTTATAGGCTTAAGCTCTTCTAGAAGAGCATCGTCATGTAAGTAATTGACATGATCCACCCCAAAACAACCTACTAGTTCTAGAATGAATCAAGTCGACCACCGACTCCAACTAACTACGAATTCTATAGTCAAACTTCTTTATGAACCTTCAAACCCAAATTAAACTATTGACTATTATATGCAACATAAAGGGTAAACACAAACTAATACAGAAACAACTACTGTATTTTTTCATGACTTCCAAACGGACTGAACAGCCCAAAAAGATGCAACTAAACTATTATACGTCAACATGCAAAATGATATGCAAATTCTAAAAGACTTTGAGTGGCAGAAGCTGGTCGGCTATCTCTTTGAAACTTAAATACAATCTTGATATAGAGGAGACAAAGATAAACAATGAGTTGAGAAGCTCAGTACGTGATAAGTTAATAAGAAAATAATCTTTATAAAACTTCTTTAATAAATATTAAGCTCGATGAAACACCATAAAAATATTTTAACAACTATTAACTTTGTAAGACAGATGATGAGCTTGTTGTTTTGCAGCTCAAAGGTAATTGCAATACTCAATCTTCTCTCATGGAGTTTTCTTATAATAACCGTAGTATAGAGATAAAAAACCATTTGGAGTATTGTATGACAAGAAATCCCGAACTCGAGTTTGTTTGGATGAAGTTGGAGAAAGAAAGTTAATAGGGCCTGAACTTATTCAGATTATTACCGACAAAGTGAGGTTAACTAGAGAAAATTTGAAAATATCACAAGACGGTAGACAGAAGAGTTATGATAATAAACGTCGAAAAGATCTAGAGATCTTTCAACCTATGAAGTTTATGGGTTGTTATTTTTATGTTCAAGAAGCAATCACTTGGAAGGGTTAGAGATGGGTGATTTCCGATCCCATAAATTTTTGTACAGAGAAGTTAAAGATTTTTGCTTGGTGTGTTGTTGACATCTTGTTGAAGTGTGCTGATGGCTGAAAAAGAAAAAAGATAACAGAGGTTAAGGCTAGGGGGAGAAAGAGGGGAGAAAGAGGTTGGAGAAGATGTTGAAGATAAGGAAAGAAAAATGATGATTTGGGTGAGGAGGGAATGGGGTTGTGAAATGAATATTTTAGTTTAATTCAAGGTATCGTAGTTTTATATTCTATTCAAAGCATATCCCTTATTTTTGTACGGGTACAAGGACAATGCGCATCAAAATGGCCAAACAGTCGCTCGCTGGCTCCTATGTAATAAAAGATATATATATATATATATAGAAAAATTGGAGTACAACTTAAATTTACCTCATTCATAAGATTTGTAAATGGTTATTTTGTAAAATGTTTTTAGTTTCGAGAAATTATATA